TTCTTTTGATGAAGGTAGTATTGTAACATGCGCAAGAAATAATGCGGAGGTGAATAAGGAGGGAAAATTAGTTTTTCAACCAAGCCACGTGGAAGATGATCAACAAATGGTGGGTCGAAGGAAAAGCATGAGACAAAGGAGAGAAAATGTGTATTTGAAGGATTTTGTGCATTGAGATCGGTGTGTGTGGTATGACTATGCTTCTGAAAATTCCTCTAATTAGCTCCCTGATACAATCTCTTCTTCCTTCTCTAACGAACTTCTATTTCTCATTTTCAAGATTTACATTGTTATGGTTATTGATGAACTCGTTGTATTTCTGTTTTTTTTTTCATCTACCTTAATTACGTAGATCTGTCGCTATTTTCTTGATTGGATTGTTTTAATTTCATGAAACATTACTCATTTTCTTAAAAAAAAATATAAATACAAAAATTATACTATTTCAAAGACCGAAACAACACTCATGTGAAAAAAAAAAAACTATATTCAAGAAGATTAAATTTTTATTGAAAAATATTCAGAATAATACAAGTGGAATTGATATCATAAAAAGTAAAATCAATTTTATTTTAAATCCCTCTAAGTTAGCTAATCTATAAGTACACTTATTGCCTTAAAAAAATGTATAGATATACAAAAATCTAAACAATGAAGTTGTCTCCATCTTAATGTCTATGGAACAATACTAACAACAATTTTGCAAACTATGGAAGAATCACATTCCAGTCAAATATGCTTCCATCTTTTCTCCCTCATGTTTTTAATAGCTAGAATAACCTCCATAAACTCTGCAAATAATGCAATATTAACACTAATAAAAGCAGAAAATGCATCATATATATTCTTCTTACTTCTACAAAACAAACCACCACAAACTGCCAAACCTAGACCACCATAGGCCTCCCCGTCAATATTACATTTAAACCATCTAGAGCATCCAATTTACCTTGAAAATCCATAATATAATTATGAATTACACCTTTAGAGGAATTACACTTGAGCTTATCACTTTTAATTTTGGCAATAACAAAAGATACCATCATAAAATTTTGATATCTTTTAACATTTCACATTCCCATATGATCAAGAAAATATTTACACAAACAAGTGTTGGAAACACATGCAATACATGATGAAAGTAAATAACAAGAACACAAGAAATTTACGTGATTAAGTCAAAGTGACCTACGTTCACGGTTGCACTAGATGACAATTCTTATTCACTTAATTAGGTTTACAATGACATGAGTATTTAAAATAAAAGTAAATGGGTCAGGCCCAATAACCCTTCACTCTACATACTTAATAATCTCCCACTAGGAGGTTGATCACATCAAGCACACTCCAAAGTAAATCTAGTAAACCTCAAACTTATAACAACCACAAACTAGTGCAATGTCTTCTCAATAATTAACCATGAAGGTAAGTTGAAGTTATGCAAAACTTCAACTTCTCAGTAGTAACCACCTTGGTCAACATATCTACAGGATTCTCTGACCCAAGGATCTTCTCCAAAAACAAAGTACCATCACTTATTAATTCTCTAATGAAGTGATACCTTAACTAGATGTGTTTTGTTCTTGCATGTAAAACAAGATTCTTTGCAAGATGAATGACACTCTGACCATCGCTATAAAGAACACTATCACATTGCTTCTTTCCTAGCTCCTCAAGAAATAGTCATGTACTCTACTTCTGTGGTTGAGAGTGCAATACTTTTCTGAAGTCGAGACATCCGACTACTTGTTATGCCACCTACTGTGAAGATAAATCCTATAGTACTCTTCATTGTGTCTAAACAACCTCTCATATCTACATTGGAATGTCCTTCCAAAATGATATCATTTCTTCTAAAACATAATGTAGTTTTAGAAGTATCTTTCAAGTAACGTAACAATCACTTGACAACTTCCCAATGCTTCCTTCCTGGATTAGACATGAATCTACTAACAACTCCCACTGCATGAGCAATGTCTGGCCTAGTGCATGTCATTGCATATATTAAGCTACCGACTACAGATGCATAAGGAACCTTAATCATTATTGTCTTGTCTTCATTTGTCTTAGGTCACTCGTCTTGAGTGAGATTAAAATGAACTCTCAAAGGTATACTTACGATTTTGGCATCCTGCATATTGAATTTCTCTAACACTTTCCCAATATATTTCTCTTGAGATAATATTAGGGAACCTTTAAATTTGTTTTTGTTGATATTCATGCCCAAAATCTGCTTCGCAATATCCATATCCTTCATTTCAAACTCTTCAGACAATTATTCCTTCAATCTATTAATTTCATTCGTGTTAGAATCTGTAATTAACATGTCATCAATATACAATAATAATATGATGTAGGATGAATCTAAATTTTTTATATAACAACACTGATCCATGACACACTTCTTATACCCTATCCTACTCATAAAACTATCAAACATCAAGTACTATTGTCTAGGTGTTTGCTTCAACCCATACAAAATCTTAGTCAACTTGCAAACCAAGTTCTTTTTCTCTACAACTTAGAAACCCTCTGGTTACACCATGTAGATGTTCTCATCAAGGACACCATGTAAGAACGTTGTCTTAACATCTAACTGTTTTAGATGAAAATCCTCTACAACCACAATACTTAACACAAGTCTAATGATAGTCATTTTAACTATAGGAGAAAAAAAAAGTCATTATAGTTAATACATCTTTTCTACTGAAAGCCTTTCACCACCAACCTTGCATTGTATCTCTTGCTGCCATCATGTTCTTCCTTGATCCTAAAAACCTACTTGTTTTGCAATGCCCTCTTTCCTGCTAGTAGGTGATGAATCATTATATTCCCATATTTTCTTACCTTTCTGTACTTATTTTAATTAGTGTTTTGGGCTTAACTGTCTGTTATTAGTGAATTTTTATTAATTGGGCTTCATTGGGCCAATAATTCATATTTTTATTAACTTGAATCTATTTGATCTAATTTTTGCTCATTATTATTTTCAGGACAGTTTAAAGCAATTTTGGGCTTGGAAGATTGGACCAGATGTCATGCCAACTGTCCATTAGGATTAGGGATTTTGTTTATTTGTTTTTGATGTGTTTTGTGGGCCAGTGAGCCCAAACCTAGATTAAGATTAGGGTTTAGGGTTATTTATGTTAGTGATCACGTAGAGGCACATCACGCGAACGCACATCACACAATGTACATCACGTAGCCGCATCCTCCGAACATCATTTTCGTCTTCTGCATTCTATATTCACATTCGCTTACTCTTTTGTCATTATTTTTAACACATTCTTTGTTTCAATTTTAATTATGTTTCTTCTTCTGCGTTTCAATTTTCCCATGGATAGCTAAATCTTTGTATTGATTTTCTGAGGAAAATGCAGTAGATCTTTGAGGTTTCGTTTGTTCTCTTAACTCTACATCTCCTAATATCAATGTTGAATTATAATCTGTTTATGGTTAATAAACCGAAACCAATATCAAAGTTTACTTAATCCTATGTTAAAGATGAGATTATGTGATGTATGCAATGATTAATTGTATAAGAATAATTTGGGTTAATCTTCACTTAGTTGGTTAATTTCAGGTTGGAATAAGGGTTAAAGCAATTTAATTTCATAACTTAGGATAAGTGACATTGCATTCGAATTAGGAAATCAATTGTTTTCTCACTGTTTTACTCAAATTCTATTTTCGTTAATTTTAAATTTAATTACTGCACTATTTTATTTCAAAACAATTCTTAATTATTGCACTTTTAATTAAAAACACTTTATTTTAATTTTATAAATTTTAATTATTTAAAAAAAATTGTTTAATTTTAATTGTCGTTAATATTTTATAGCAATTTAATTTTAATTTTTATTATTCTCGCATCAATTTATTTCTTTTTCACTCTTTCATTCATTCCCCTATTAACTCGTTATTTATTGTTTTAGAAAGAATGATATGTGATAATGAGTATATTCTTATAATTGTGTCCTTGTGAGATTCAACACGGGTTAGATATACTGCATTAGTTTAGCAACTTATTTATTATTTTTTATCAGTATTTTGTGCGGCCGAAATGTTGTTATCAGTAGGTCAGTAAAACACAAAGTTTTATTTTTTTTTAAGTGAGTTCATCTCCTCTTGCATGGCTAACTCCCACTGAGCTGCATCATCCATCCGCAATGCCTCAATATAACATAAAGGTTCTCCATCGTCAATCAACAACAAGTAATTTATTGAAGGAGAAAACTTATGAAAAGACCTAACCAGTTTGTTAGATCTCCTCACTTCGACTACTCAGTGACGTAAGTAGTTTCCTCGTATTAGGTGGTGGTCGGAGCATATTAAGTGATAGGGACTTACTCCCATGGGCAAAGGAAATATGTTTTTCCTTCTATTGGTTTTTTTTTTTTTAATTTTGGTTTATTTAGAAATTTTCATTTATTTTATTATTTTATAGGACAAAAATGAGGTATTTACAATAATAAATAGGGTCAGGTAAACATAATTAGAATAGAAGTTTATATTTAAGTAATTTTCCTTTTTAAATTGATATTGATTCTTATATTTAAATCACTAAAATATGAGAATCTTTTTCTTATATTAAAGTCTTCAATATTTATTAGTCCCTTCATGCGTGTAATACATTCAGAAATTTAATTATAAACATTCAAACAAAGTTCTGTCCTGTAATATGATTCCACGTGGTAAATCAATGTATCGATATATAGTAACATAATCATCATCAATGAAATTGAACAAGGAAGAAAAACGTGAAGGCCAAAATAATTTTGGTGAAACATCTCATTGAAATTAACTAATCCATAATTTGTGTTGCTCATAACTTCAAATACTCAACTAAATCCAACTAGCTTTGTAATTGTGAACAAGTAACACTCATGCTATCAATGTAACATCACACAATTTATCGAACAATAGTAACTAGTGAGTATGAAAAACATATCCCTAACAACATAAACAGCAATTCTCCTGAGTACATAGATTAGAGGGCATTAATATTGTCTGAATGTAAGATTGAGTCGACCAGCAGAAAGGCAAGAATCTCTCAATAATTTTTTTGGAGCTGAATTTGGAAAAACTGATGGCACACCATGGAAAACATGTCGAGAATCACCACCAAATATCAACACATCTCCTGATTCTAGAATTACACTCTCTGCCTTATCTACATCCCTCTCATCTCCATAAAGAAAATCTGCTGAATCACCAATAGAGAAGGATACAACGGGCAAACCTTTTCGGAGACTTTCTTTGCTTTCATCACGATCCTACATCAAGCAGTTTCAAGTTAGATGCTGCTTGAGATAGTTTATGGCTAACATAAAAAAATAAAAAGTATAAGATGTACAATTCATACCAAAACACAAAGTTTGGTAAATGCAAATCATGAGGCCCTCAATAAAGTAGCATTTATTTATGCCAAAAAGTTTAAGACACTACACTCTAGCTTAATAATGCTTTTAGTATTTAGCAGCAATCAGCAACCAAACCAATAAGACAATGTAGATGGAAAATTACTATGTTGTCATGAACAACCAAAAATCATATCAAGATTTCAAAAAAAGGTCCATTACAATAAAAAAGAAAAAAGAAAATAAAAATGGAATGTCACAGGTGTAAAATAGGAATGTTAGAATAAGTCAATAATAGCTACATATTTCAGGAGTTCTAAAAAATGAAAAAAAAAAAAAAAAAGGTAGTGTAGGAAGTATAGGAGCTAACTTGATGAAGACCAAGCTTTCCATTGTTGGTATAAAAATTGACGATGCAAATATCCGGAGTCATTAAAGGAAGAACATCCTCCACATTCAATACTCTATATTCCTTTTTAGTTAGACACTGGGCTTCTTGGATTGCTCTTGTAACCAGTTGACTGAAGTAATTGGGAATACTAGGTGGGGTGCTACCATCAATTACCCGTTTCTTTCTATATTTATAGGTCTGTGGATCCCAGTCCCAACCAAGGCACATCATCTTCAATCGAAGTTTCGCTCCAGTTGCATATCCTGGTTGATAAAATCCTCCAGGACCAAGACCAAGTTCACGACAAACTTTCACTATCTCCACCTAAAATATTAGAACAAAATGTAGTAAACTTAGTACATATGAATAATAACTTTTCACCCAATAAGAATAAAGTCACTGAGGAAGAAATGGGAGAAACATTTGATTTAAAAATCACCGACTTATTCTATTGATCAAAAAGTTTATACTAACTTAGTGAGTTTAACGTGTTTGTCGTATTCAACCCAAAAAATAATTTAAGAAGTGGAATATTTTTTTCTGCCTAAAAGATTAAGCACAGTACTCTGATTTAACTCAAGTTAAGAAAATGGTTGCTTCAATATAAATGTTCATCATAAATTGATATTTCTACTTATTCAATGTGAATAACAATTAAAAAGGACTTACAAAACAATACCCTACATATTGAAGCAAGTGAAAATCAAATACCTGTTCATCATGGCTTATGAAATTTTTCAAGAGAACCATACCAGGCCTCAACACCCACCCTTCTTTCCATTCATCCTGCTTCCCAATTCCACTTTTTTTGTTTTCTTCAGGCAATGTAGCTCCTATTGAAGCATGGTTTCTTCTTCCCTGAAAGCAAATATCATATGGTCTGAACTCTGGCTTTCTAACACAAGGATCCAACTTGGGACCATCAACTACAACATAGCTTGAATTGGAGCTAGGTGCAATACATTTGGCTCCACTGCCCTTAGCCAAATCTAAATCAACTCGGGTTCTCCTCTTGAATTTTCTTGGTTCAGAACCAGTAGTAGGCGTATATGATGAGGAAATTGAATTACTAGAATTAGATACTAACTCAAGATGTTTGTCACCAATTGCTTTACGACTAGGTGACAAAGGGAGTGAATAATTCTTCACTTCCTTTTTAGATAACGGTGCACAAATCCTACCAAACATAATAGATTCTCCTTTGTCATGATCCGCCATAACCTGCATTTGAATCATGGAAATCAAAAACAAAAACAGCAAAAGGTGTGGTAAGTTCTACGAAAAGTAAAATAAAGCTTCAATCGTCAAAACACTTACGAATGAGATTGATCTACAGAGAATTAGGAAAAGAATACAACACACCCACTCGTTTTGAAAGTTTATTTTTTTTTAAGAAAAGAAAGAGAAGAAATATGCTTGAAACAGGACTAGATAAAGAACCATCAGTGAACAAAAAAACACACCTTTTACAATGGAAGTCTCAAAGTCTCCAAAATAAACAAAATGAATAATAATAAAAAAAACTACTTCATTACTATGGAAGAAGAAAGATTAAGAGAGGTTATAAAAGAAATAGAAACTTACAAAATAAGTTTCTGACTTTCCATATTCATGGTAGTGTTTGGTGTTTATTTGTCTTTATCTAGTTTTCCAAAGAATAAAAAGATTAAAGACAACCTCTTCAAAACTTAAAGAATGATTTTAGAAAAAATAAAAACTTGTATTAAAAGTATATCTCTGAAAGTTTAATTATTTTATTCTTCATTACATCTCAGAAAGTTTATATCATAAAACTTATAAAACACTTTTTTTTCTCTAAATTATGATTATATTTATTTTAAATTGATTTCTTTAAAAAGAGAAAAGGAAAAATAACATTTTTACAAGAAATAAAACGCTATTTCTTGATTTTAATTGAGTTTTTAAACGCTATTTATTCGTGAATAAAAAGTTTCTACTGCTACAACAACGAAATTTATAAATTATTTAAGAAAAATGTAAATAAGATAAGCTTGTAATGCTACAACCAGCGTGGAGGGATATCTTTCACTTTTCTTTCGCTCAAATAATATATTATTAAAATTATAAATAAATAAAAAAAAGATAAAAATTATAAATATATAAAATAATCATTAAATTTAAAGAAAATAATTATAAAATTAAAAAAAGAAATTAAAAAAATAAAATTATAAATATAAAAATAAATATATTAAAATTTGAGAACAAAATCATGATTATAAAATTTTGGCTGATTATTAAAAAAAAATTGCCTGGGTATAACAAGGCAATTTTAAAACTGTTATACAGAAAAGAGTTTAAATCTTACATGGACGTTGGAGGAAGAAGACGCAGAATTCACAGTTTTGCCCATCTGGTTGAAACCGAAAATTTGGATGAATCTCGAACGTAAAAATGGTGACAGGGGAGATTGAAAGTGAAACAACATAAGAGGAATGGGATGTTAAATAAGCATGATTGCTATTTAAAAGAACAATTCATGACCCATTGGATTTTGATTTGATTCCTAGGAAAAGTAATTTGATAAACCCAATAATATCTAATACTTAATTAATAAAATTATTTAGAAAAACAAGATTCTCCTGGTAATTTGATAAATTCAATAATATTTAATAATAATTAATAAAACTATTTTGGGAAAAGATAAGGTTTGTTATGCATCCATTAGATAATTTCTTTTTTTTTTTTAATTCAAAGTGAGTCTCCTCGTAACTAGAGTTTGAGGAAGCGGCGACTGATATCAAAGCAATGAATTTACTTGTTTGTATAGGTGGCGGTATTCATATGCAACCACTTCTCGTTTTACTTGCACATTCCCTTCCATCTATATTTCATTTGGAAAAGAAAGAGATTAAAGATTTTTAATTTGATTACAGTGCATTTTATGAGATAATGTATTTAATTTTATCAAAGATTTCAAACCATTTATTTTATAATAAATAGTATAATATCAATTAATTTTACGAAGGATCTAGAACCCCATAATATTCTTGTAAATCAACTTAACTACCAGTTTTGAAAATAAAGTGTGATATGGAGGCCAAACTAATTATAATTTTTACTGTTTTCTTAACAAGAATTTAACTTTCGATATTATAAATAATTTTAGATTTTTTTATTTATATAAAATTTAATTATTATTTTTAATTAACAATTGTGAAACTATTCATATTTTAAAAATCCAATTTCATAAGTTAATATTATACTTATTTGTTGGTATAAGATTTATGTAAATTTAGAAAAACTCCTAAATAAAAAAAAATCCCTCAAAATTGAACATCTTCATTTTATAATATTATATCTAAGTGAAAGATATATTTTTTTATATATTTTTATGATATCTAATCATAAATTTCTAATTATTACGTAAATTTTTTATTTAAATTAACGTAATGTTTAAGATGTTAACAATATCAAAAATATTATTATTATTATTATTATTTAAAAAATAGTATGTGTAAATTTTATTTGATTATATTACTCTCTTATCTTTATTTCATATTTTTTATATCTTGTATTGATATACTAGAGGAAATAAACATAGTTGTATTACATGAAATATTATAACAATTTCTCTTATATGCAGATGCATAGGTATATTAAGAGTAGATTAATATTTTTCTACATAAATATTTATTAAAATAAATTTCTGTATATTTCATCTTTTTTAAATCAAATTCAAAAGAATATTTATTATGACAACTTCCTAATATTAACATATTTACTTTAAACATAAACTAATTATCTCATATTGCTATCTATTATCAAATTTAAAATATGAATTATTTATCTGTGTACCTAAATATGATATTTAAATTAAATATTTGTGTTATGATTATCTTTATCAATTTGTAGTTATGAGTTATTTTTAAATTCCAAAACTATTTAGATAATATAAAAAATTAAAGAATATATATATATATATATATATATATATATTAGAAAAAATGTTTATTAAATTTATATTATAAATAATTTAAAATCTTAATTGTATTTGTTCTTATTTACGGAGGTTAGGAAGAGAAGGTGAGGTTAGCAAGAGAACGTGAGGTTAGAGTGGAAAAATTAATATATTATATTTTAAGTTACGACTTAAAAATAGATAAAAATAGCTTTTTTTTAAATAACATAGACTCATTTAAAAAAACACATTCTCAAATCAACTTTTAGATGAAAAAGTAATTAATTTAAGAATAAGTAATAAGATAAGATTAACTTCTTGTCCAAGTCTCTTTGTATAAGATTCAACAGATAATAATAGTCTAATAGATAATAATAGTCCAACAAATAATAAATGATAACCCAAAAAATAATAATTAATAAATAATAGATAAAAATAATTAAATAAATAAAGTATATTTAATGGATTTGAACCGGTACAATATTTTTTATATTTTTATATTTTATTCATTAAGGTATTTTGATATAGAATATTATAGGTGAAAAATAATTAGGAGTTTTTTAAAATCAAATTATAAAGAATATTAAAAGTAATTTATTTTTATATGAAAAATATAATTATGTACATAACCGCGCACTGAAGAAAATGTTAGAATAATTTCATATGACCATGTTTCAATTTATAAATGAATAATTTAAACTTGTAAAATCTAAAATTATAGGGACTTACTTAGGTCTAATCTAGTAACTTTTTAATAGCCTTAAAATTCAAAAAGAGTATTTAACTTTTTGATAGTCATCAAATCATAAAAGAGTATTTATCTTAACTACTTCCAATATAGAACTAGTTATCTCATACAAATACCAATATGTAGTTATAAATATGAATTACATTTGAATTCAAAATTTATTTAATATAAAAATAAATAATATATACATAAATTAGAAAAAAATAATTATATATTTCAAAATTAAATTATAAATAAATAAAATCTTAGTTGTATTTTATTTATATTTTTTATTTTATTCGTTAAGGTATTTTGGCATAGGTATGTTATAGGTGAAAAACAATTAGGCAATTTTGAAAATCAATTAACAGGATATTAAAAGTATTTTATTTTTATATGGAAATCTATTAGAATAAATATTTCTAATACTATTTTTCATCATATTTTTTAGATTATTAATTTTTTAAAATTCAATACGTATAAATTGCATCTTTTTTTTTAAATAGTAGTTAATTAAATAAAAATTAATTAATTTTTATTTGATTCTTTTAAAGTAATGTTTATATTTGGTTAAATTTTTTAGTTAATGATTTTTTTTTCTAAAATTGGTAAACAAAATATAAAAAATGCTTTGTTTATTTCAAAATGAATCAAATAAAAAATTTGTTGATTTTTCTACAAGATGTTTATTCAAAATTTCCTGAAAAAGGTTAGGAAACACACAAATAATATATATATATATATATATATATATATATATATATATATATATATATATTGAAATAAAGTTAAAAAAAGAAAATTAGAAAAAAATAAAATGATATTAGATAATATGACACACTACAATTATGACCTCAATCATGGCATCATTTGACTACAACATTTTAGTCACACAAAATACTAATAAAAAAAATAAACAAATTGTTAAAGCAATCTAGTATAGCTAATCTACTTAGAATCTTACAAGAACACAATTAAAAGAATGTACCCATTGTCAAAATTATTCTCTTGAAAAATAGTAAACAAGGGTAAATAAAGAGTTGATAATGATAAAATGAAAAAGAAAAAATAAATTAAAGATAAATAATAAAAAATTAAAATTAAAATTAAATTACAACAGAATAATAATGAAAAATAAATTGAAAGAGAATAATGAAAAATTAAATAACTAAAATTTATAAAAATAAAATGGAATGCTTTTAATTAAATTCGGAACTTTCCATAATAAAGTGCAAAATAAAAAAATTCATTTTAATTAAAATATAAGAGTCCAATAATTAAATTTAAAATTCTCGAAAGATATAAATTTAAATTTAATTTGCAAATTATAATCGAAAATATTAAAATAAAATTGGAAAATTGGAATAAAAAATGGTAAAATAAAATTGGAATCGAATAATTGATAAATTGAAATCGAAAATGAAGTAAATGGAATACTAGAATAAAATAAAAATGTTAAACAAGTAGAAAATAGAAATTAAACTAAGTACCGGTTGAATAAAGCAAATGCAACAATATAAAATGAAAAATTCAAGAGAAATTGAAAATTAAATAAAAGAATAATAACCACAAAGTTACAGTAGATCCTTGTTAAGCTCACTAAACTAAAAACTAATCTAAAGAAAAGTTGAGAATGAAAACAAAATTGAAAATAATGGATATGAGACAAAACAATAATTCTCACCCCGGAGAAGGATATTGTGTTTTTTTTGTTCTGATTAGACCTATATTCATAGGGGATTAACCAGGAGAAAATAAGTCTAGAATTAATTACAATAAAATTAAATCTTTCCTCAATTAAAAATTGTAGCACTAGATTATTCCATAATGAGAAATTTTTGGGATTGGTTGGATCAATTCAGATTATTTCCTTATTTGAGTTGATTCAGCACTGATTTGCATTTAATTTTTTACTTTCGTAGTCTTTAACTTAACTCAATTAGATTCTCCGCAAGTGAGTTGCACACACAAATTTGGGTTTCTAAGAAGAATGAAGCTCAGTTTCACATTATACTTTTTATGAATTTGGGCCTTTATTTCCATCAATTTTGTTAGAAATGTAGGCTGAGATCAAGAGGGGGGTGAATTGATCTTTGAAAGATTTTCGCAAATTACAGATTATCTATTTCAAAGATTAAGATTTCAGATCAATTCTTGAATTACACACAGCAAGCAATCAAAACTAAATGCAGTGACAGAATTTAAGGAGAGAAAGGTTTAGAAAGATACAACCAAGGTTTATACTGGTTCACCCAATCCCAGGGCTACATCCAGTCTCCAGCCAAATTCCAGCTGGGTTCCACTAGATTGAACGTTTTACAGATTACAACTTTAATCTCACACTCAATCTATCACAAGAACCACAATTCTAGTTCCTGCACCTAAACCTTCACCAAGAACCAAGTTCTAGTTCTTGACCAACCCTGCAGCCAAATTCCAGCTACAGAAACCAATGCCCACAATTCCAGGCACCCACAATACAGTAAAGAAAGTAAGGAAACGAATAGAAGAAACTTAGAACGCTCAAACCAGATTTATGCAGCTCTACAGTATGTGTTTCTTCTCCAAAAGAATGCAATTTTGCCTCAAGAAAGAACTTCTATGAACTTCACAAAATTAGCGCGATTCTCTCTTGAAAGTAACACTTATAATTGCTTGATTGATTGCTAAAGGATGTATTTAAAAAGGTTCAAGCAATTCTATTTATATAGAAGATTTTCAAAGCTACTTGGTTTATTTAATCTGTTAAAATAATCTTTTAATATGTTAAAAGTCTTGTTTTAATTTGTTAAAACTTCTTTTAATATGTTAAAATGTTCTTGATTATTTTCCATATCTGTTTTAACCGATACGACACCGTTTATATCAATTAAAACTCTTTGTAAAAAATCTTCTAAACTGTTTTAATCGATTGATTCGTCTCTCAATCGATTGAAATACTGCAAAATATTATTATAAACTTTTCTAAGTGATTTTAACTGATAACAATCTATTTTAATTGATTAAAACACTTTGAATAAAATTCACTTAGTTATTTTAATCAATTGAAACACATATTAATCGATTAAAATTATTTTGATCGATCAAAAACTCATTCTGATCGATCATAAACTCATTTTGATCGATTAACCAATACTCCAAGTGGTTTTAATCGATTGTTTCGAAGTTATATCGATTAAAATACTGCCAGAACACTTCCTTGAACATTTTAAGTGATTTTAATCGATTTTTTCGAAACTATATCAGTTAAAATACTAACAGAAGGTTTTCAAAACTCCTTCTAATGAAAACAATCGATTATTTCGAAAACATATCAGTTAAAAACCTGTTACAAAAGTGTTAAGAACATTTTAGTTGATAAAGCTTGTATACTATTAGTTAAAATAGTTAATTAAAAAACCTTTTATCAAAATACTTTGTTTTTAACCGTTTAATCGCTTTTTAGAGGCATTTGCAAAATCTTTTAAATGAAGACACCTCATGCAGCAGAGAGATAAAAATGATTATACCTAAGCAGAGATGCAGACTCACTAATCCCACTACCCTTTTATCTAAGTGACCTTTGACTGCCACAAAGTAGCCTTTGACTTCATTTTTTACTTCATCAAATCAACAAGATCTTTCTCAAAGTAGTTCAATAAGATCTTCATCACTTTCAAATTTGACCCATTTTAAATTACCTTTCTCCTAAAAAAACAGAGAAATGTGCATTATGGATGTATGACTGCATGATTTGATGCTAAAATCATGCAAAATGCAATAAATGAAGTAAAACTGAATTATGTCATGTATTTTAATGAAAAGATGTTAAATTCATGGTTTCTGAAGAAAATTATTCATTTTGAAATGCTTTTAGATAAAGAAATAAAGAGTAAAATGACATACATCACACCACCACTTGTTACATCAATCATACTTCTATCCATAATTGTTATTCCTTCATAAAAGTATTGAATAAGAAGTTGCTAACATATTTGGTGGTGGGAGCACCTTGCACATAAATGATTGAATATTTCCCATTATTCGGACAAACTCTCTCTATCATGTTGCCTAATACCACACATCTCCTTTCAGATGGAAGTAGCTCTTGAGGTTGAGAAATATTTTTCAAGAAACATCCCTTTAAAAAAATCTTAAGTTGTGATTGAATTTGAAGGTAAGTAGTATAGTCGGACTTTTGCTAGTTCGTGCAATGAGAATGGAAATGATTTGATCCTCATTAACACCTTGAGCTCTCATGGATGAACAAATGGTGTGGGGTTCCTTAAGGTGTTTGTGTTGGTCTTCACCTGTAAGTCTACAAAATTTAAGCAACAAATGTATTAAACTTGTCTTAATAATAAATTACATGTCATCATAATTTTCAAATTGAATGCAAATATTATGATATGAAACATCTGGTGCAACTAGCTCTTTAAGTGTGTCCTCTCACCCATGTTGGTTTGGTTCATGTTTTCTAAATTGGATAAGAATTATACTTTATTTTCTTTTTGTTATTTTCTAAGTTTATGCAAAGTTCTTTTAATTTCTGGATCAAATGCAAATGATTTAGCATTATTGGACCATAGCATTCAAGTGCAAAAATCAAAAGTGAAAATGGAAAATATAAACTATGCAGAAAAAATAAAGAAACAAAAGTTATTAGACAGTTTTCATTGAGCGGATTATGATACGCTGAGAAAAATACTCAAGTAAGAAGCAAATTCACTTAGCGCTTCACAAATTACTAGCCGAAATAGTTTCAATAAGCAAACTATTGAATAATCACTAAATCAACTAAGCGAGCGTAGGTCCTTGCTAAGCAAAATTAATGAACAAAACAAAATGTTAAACACTAGAACAAATTTTCTTAGCAAAACACACAACTGCTAAGCAAAAATGAAAGTACTAGAACAAAAAGGCTCACCGAAAATCGTGTCACTTAGATGTGATCAAATATACATAAACGAGTATTAATGTAGTTCTAGGATTGATGTAGGTCGTGTCCTCGAGAAGAATTGGTCAATGTTAATTAAACTTTAATTGGTCTATGAAAAATAGTAAAGAAAAACATTTAAATGACTTGAAATGTAAGTCAAATGTTGTACATTTACATTACATAAGCTTGTAAAGTTCTACAAAATATAAGCCTATACTACTAAAGCATGTAAATTCATAAAATGTAAATCAAAGCTTGTAAAATAAAAGCAATAAAGGAAAACAATAAATCTATCATCTAAAAAAATAAAGATTTAAAAACTATAAATGAATCATAGAATTCAAAATTAAAGCTATAAAATATAGAATTATGCAAGTAAAATATTGAAGAAAAGTTATGAAAAATATAGGTTAATTCTCCAATCATCAACTTCATATGATTGTCATTTATTTCTAGACTTGCTTGTAATCACAAAATAAATCCTTAATAGTCCTAAACAATTACAATTCAATGGAGTTATAAGCACAACTTAATTTCTAAATCAAGAAATCATTTAAACCTATAAATTGAATGGTGATGTAAAATAAAACATTCAATCAAATAATTTCAATCAAATTGATTGTAATGGATTATAGTTAGTTAGAATCATTAAAAACTAAATCTAAATCATAGAAAATAAGTTTTAGTCTGGGAATAAACCATAAAAATGAATTAGAATATTAATATATAAAGTAAAATCGTAAAAACAATGAACAAAGTAAAGAAAGTATGGAAAAGTAAAAAAAGAATGGGAGAAAATGAAAATTAAACGGAAAAAGTATATAAGAGAGAACAAATATGATTTAATTCATCTTGAATTGATAAAATTCAAGGTATAATTCAAATAAGAGCAATAGAATTCATTTTTAAAAGTGATGCTACAAACAGATACACTACAAGAAATTTGTTAATTATCAACCGAAATTTTTTGACGGACTTAAATCGGTTGGAAAACAACTTTTTATTGACGGACTATACCGACAAATATGTGTTATATGAGAATCTATAAGTAAATTAACAATTTTTTAATGGCGATTCATTTCTGTCAAAAATATTCGTGGATTAGGTGATAAATATTTTGGAATTAAATTACCGTCGGTAAGTGTGTTCATCGATAATGTATATACTATCCGTCAGTAAGTTGCTTTGATTAATAGAAATTTAATTTCACTTTTCCTTCATCTCAATTATCTCTCTTTCGAGTCCAACACCTACGCAAACCTAAATCGCCTTCAATCTCTTTTTTCTCCAAATTCGTGCAAAAAATAATCCAATTCTCACTCCCAAACCCCTCCAATCCTCCTCTGCCCAATGGATGTCAGCCCCACACAATTCCTCCATTTTTGATGCCACTGTCTCCTCCAACCCGCCTAATCAAATCATGCACTCCATGAAACGCCAACTCCCCTTCTCCTCCATGAAATCTCCCTTCTCCATTATCGTAGAGTACCACCGTTTTTCTCCCGACCATTGTCGCAACCTCGACACCAAAGTCCTCAAACTCTGGTTAGCTCTTCCCTAATTTCAATTTTTAAATTGTCGGTGTTTTAATTTATTTTTTTTTGTCATTGTTGAGTTGTTTGTCGCTCTAAGAGTTTGTAGAGAACTAGATATATGCTTAATTCAAGGGTTTAATTAGTAACTGAGTTGTTAATTTGTCAATATTAGTCGTTGAATTAGTTTATAAGTGATACCAGTTGTGATTGAATTTTGATATCCCAAGTTAAGGTGTTCGAGATTTGGAAATATAATGTATGTGTGATTTGTTTTTATATTGGAAATGAAATTAAGTGGTTGATATCTTTTATAGAAGGTGATAATTTGTTTCTTCTATTTAGTCCTGGTGATAGTAACCTTCTGGGTTTGTAATTAGAGCAACGAGGAACTTAAAAGGATGTGCTCATTGATCATCCAGAAGATGAGTTCTTGGTGTGATTTGTAAATTGGTCAATTTCGGGAAGGAGTGGGAGGGAAATTATTGTTTGTATTAGCGCCATTGGAGTACTTTTGGAAAGGCCCATTGACTTCATATGTAATCATGCATTTTTTTTTATTTTACTTTGGCTTGCTTATTTTTCATTTGAAACATTTTACTACACCTATGATTGAAGTTGGAGCCTGACGACAATATTTTAGTCGCACAAAATATTAATCAAAATAACAAATAAGTTGTTAAATTAGTATAGTATAGCTAACCCATGTTGAATCTCACAAAGACACAATTATAGGAACATACTCATTACTACATATAATTCTTTCTAAAAACATTAAATAGGGGATCGATGAAAGAGTGGAAAAAAAATTGATGCAGTAATAATAATAGTTAAAATCGAATTGCTATAGAATATTAATGACAATTAAAATTAAATTGAAGCAGAATTTAAATAACTAAAATTTATAAAATTAAAATAAAATACGTTTAATTAAAAGTGCAAAATAAAAATTGCTTAAAAATAAAATAATGCAGTAATTAAAATTAAATTAATACAAAATTTAAATAACTAAAATTTATAAAATTAAAATAAAGTGTTTTTAATTAAAAGTGAAAAATGAAAAATTATTTTAAAATAAAATAGTACAATAATTAAATTTAAAATTTTGGGAAGTAATAACTCTAAAACAAAATTGAGGATAGGAATTGAAAAAGAGATGAGCACTAAATGAATAAAGCAAATAGAACAATATAAACTGGAAAATTCAATAGAAATTGCAAATTAAATGAAAGGGAACAAATTGGAAGTGCAATAATAGTAGATGATTGTGTTATCATACGACCTCTATTTATATACAAGAGAAATTAAGCTTAAATATGCTTCTTTCCTATAAAAAAAATTACAAAATTAGATTATTGTTAAGAGAAATTTCTGGTACTAATTTGGAGAAAATAGTATACTTCTTTCCTATTTTGAGTGATCCAACACTGATTTGCATTTAATTCTTGATTCCTGCTGACCTTCTCAGCTAAATTGGATTCCCGCATCAGTTAGTTTGCTTGATTCAAAAATTTTATTTGTAACATTCTACAAGTGGGTTGCACATGCAAAATTGGGCTTCCGGGAAGAGTAAAGCTCGATTGCATCAATTTGGACATTTCTTTCCATTAATTGTCTCATCTGAAATTATTTTTCTCTTATAAAAGAAGAAAAGAAATATACACTATGGATGTATGCATGTATATTATTTTTTATGTTAAAACTATGCAAAATGTAATAAATTAAGAAAAATTAAATTATGATATACTTGTTATGAAAATATGTTAAATGCATAATGAAAAAAATAATTAGCTTAGAAAATGTTCTTAAATAAAGAATAAAATGACATACATCAGAGCCTGATAAATGCATAGGTTTTTATTGAGCATTTGATTTGACCACAAATCATTCACTTTATTCATATGTTCCTTGGTTAGGAATTATGAATTTGGCTCTGACACATGTTAGACAAATGGCATCTAGAGGGAGGTGAATAGATGCACAAATTAAAATAGATGTCAAATTAAAAATTTATTTGTGAGTCAATAATTTGTTTGAACACAGATAAAGCGAAAATAATAATATAATCAGGAAAAGAGAAAGAGATAAGGGAAAGAGAAGAGCACACAGAGATTTATACTAGTTCGGTATAGCCAACCCTACATCCAGTTCCCAGTCAACTCTTAACACAAGAGTGACTCCCCATTCACTATCTTTCAAATTCAATTTACAAATTACAATCAACTCAGCAGAAGAACCAGTAAAAAGTAAACTAATTAAAAAGACAATCACCTCCTTAGAAACCCACTAAGGATGAACACCTCCCTAGAATCCCACTAGGGATGAACACCTCCTCTAAACAAATCAAAGGATGAAAAACACCTCCTTAGAATCCCATTAAGGATGAACACCTCCCTAGAATCACACTAGGGATGAAAAACACCTCCTTTTCACCAATACAAAAAGGATGAAGGTAATAAAAATAAGAACAGACACACCTGGGTAATGGAGACAACAAATTGTAGAAGCCTGTAGAATGTCAATCTTGATTTGTTTCTTCTTCTCCATCAATGCTTTTGGAAGAACTCTCTTGTGTTGTGGAAGAATCATTATCCTCCCAAGCAATATAAGCTTTGCATTTGCTCTTATAGGTATCGTTCTTCTCTTTCTTCTTCTCTTTCACATCTTTCTTCTCTTTCTTAAGTTTCAAACAGTCTGGTTTGATATGACCAGGTTTTCCACATTCATAGTAATGAAATTTATTTGTTTTCTCCTTTCTTTGCTGTCTCTTTTTCCTGTTCTTTATAAAGCGAGAAAAATTGTTTAACAAAAAGAGATATATCAGAGTCTGAAAACTTACCTTCATTTTCGCTTTCGTCTTGTGAAGATTTTTCTGCTTTTAGAGTTATCGTCTTGGTTTGATTATGTTCACCGTTCTTTAACCTTTGTAGTTCCATCTCATGTTCTTGCAGTTTTCCAAATAGAGTAGCAATATTCATTTTTGTGAGATCTTTTGATTCCGTAATAGCAGTGACCTTTGGTTGTCAATTCCTGTCTAAGGATTTTAAGATCTTTGTGATCAACTCCTCATTGTCAAAACTTTTTCCTAATGCTTTCAAGTGATTTATTATATGTGTGAAGCGTGTCTGGAAATCCGTGATGCTTTCATTTTGCTGCATTTGAAAAATTCATACTCCTGGATGAGTGTGTTCTTACGTGCTCGCTTTACTTCATTTGTTCCTTCATGTGTTACTTCAAGAGTGTCCCATATTTCTTTTGTCGTCTTGCATTGTGAGACCCTAAAAAATTCATTACGAGTTAAGGTAGAAACAATAGCATTTCGGGCTCTTACATCATAATGGGCATGCTTATTTTCATTCGGCATCCATTGGTCAAAAGTCTTTAGAATAACTCCAAACTTCGTTGTTCTCATCAGAATGTAGGGACCATTGAGTACAGCATCCCAAACACCATAATCTAGTGTTTGTAAAAATATTTTCATTCTCGCTTTCCAAAACTGATAGTCTTCTCCTTCAAATAGTGGAGGTCTGTTTATTGAGGCTCCTTCCCAGTAAACCTGATTCTGCATAGACATCTTGACAGACTGTTTAGAAATATCTTATTTAACCAAGCTCTGATACCACTTGTTAGACAAATGGCATCTAGAGGGGGGTGAATAGATGTACAAATTAAAATAGATGTCAAATTAAAAATTTATTTGTGAGTCAATAATTTGTTTGAACACAGATAAAGCGAAAGTAATAATATAATCAGGAAAAGAGAAAGAGATAAGGGAAAGAGAAGAGCACACAGAGATTTATACTGGTTCGGGTATAGCCAACCCTATATCCAGTTCCTAGTCAACTCTTAACACAAGAGTGATTCCCCATTCACTATCTTTCAAATTCAGTTTACAAATTACAATCAACTCAGCAGAAGAACCAGTAAAAAGTAAACTAATTAAAAAGACAATCACCTCCTTAGAAACCCACTAAGGATGAACACCTCCCTAGAATCTCACTAGGGATGAACACCTCCTCTAAACAAATCAAAGGATGAAAAACACCTCCTTAGAATCCCATTAAGGATGAACACCTCCCTAGAATCACACTAGGGATGAAAAACACCTCCTTTTCACCAATACAAAAAGGATGAAGGTAATAAAAATAAGAACAGACACACCTGGGTAATGGAGACAACAAATTGTAGAAGTCTGTAGAATGTCAATCTCCAAGAACAAGTGTGATTAACAATGAAAACACAGAAGGCAGTAGAGAAGAGGGTTTTCTCAACAGGTGTAAAATATTTCTGTTGTTTTGCTCATAATTCTTTTCTCAAAACTGATTGAATGTAAATTGTATTTTCGAATTCTATAATTGTGTGTTTTTTATTTTTCATCAAAACTTAATTAAATAGAAAAATAGCATCAAAAAATGGTCGTTGGACATTAATAATATCATAGAGAAAATCAGGATGTATTAAAAAACATTTATTCTTTAAAACGGATATATTTTTTAAATTTAAATTGCCATAATTGATTATATTACCAACATAATCAATTATGATAAAGAAAATCATTTTTCTATTTCGATGCATCATAATTAATTATGACAGAGAAAAATATCACGTTATGAATTTTATCACACTTGTGCTTTAGAGGCTTATGCATAATATTACTTCATCAACTTGTACCTCCATATCCAGTATTCTAAGACTCTATCTAGTATTCAGGAATCATCTCGGGCTTGCTTGAATCATCATCTTTATCAAAAACATATCTTGGGCATGTAGGGAAATGTTTCACATTTTCACCAACGTCATAAATTCAGTTTGTCCTTAATTCATCTTGAATGGTGTTGACTTGAATGTAGTTGACTTGAATCATCATCAAAATCATCTCTTGGGAATGTAAGGACATTTCCATCAATCTGCCCCTCATTGCTTTCAACACATTCTTTTGGGGTGGCTTTAATACTTTCAGATGAAAGTAATTGTACATATTTATGCATGATCCTACCTATCCCTTTTGTCTTGGGGTTATGGCAAAACAAATTTTTGAACTGGGGTTTTCTCATTAAATGATTACAAACTAGGAATTCATTAGATAATGGTCAAGTGAAAAAACAAATTATGCATAATCTTGTGATAGACATATCTATCAAGTTATTCTTTTGTGGACATTTTGATTAAATATTGCCTTGCAATTACCTACCATGCTTTGGACATAAATATAGACTCTCCATTATGGTAAGATGATTATGGTATGTGAATTATATGTGGGGATGGCATTCTTACTATTTCTTCTAATTAATATCATTTTTGTTTATTGCAATGATTATATTTTTACATTTCATCAATTGAAGCAAAAGAGTGAAGCAACTGATTTTGAAGCTTATT